TTTTTCCCACTATTTTTTTTTTTTTTTTTTGAGACAGTCTTCCTGTATAGCCCAAGCTGGTCTTGTACTTGTGATCTTCCTCTCTTAGTCTTTTTCTAAGTGTTGGTATTATTGGTGTGTGACACCACATCTAGCCACAAAACCCTCTTGTCTTTTGACTGGAAATGACTCCCACTTTCAAATTAACTTAGGTCCGGACTGCTGTTACTCTGGAGACCAGGGGATAGGGGTATGGCAACCTTGGGATCACAGTCAGCTCCTAATTTTACAGGAAAGAACAGTGACCTCAGGAGGACGTGAATGCTTTCAAGGTGGCTCTTACACTGCTCTCTGGCCTGTTCCCCAGTGCTTGTCTTCAGGAACTGGCCACAAATTAGCAATGTCCCTTCTCTGAAGCAGCACTAGAAGGTAAGCTTGAAACACAGTGTGAGACCCAGCTGCACCACCCTTCTCCTCTCTGGAAGCTACCTCCAGCTATGCAGGGGAGGGTGTCGGGGACGGGGGAGTGCTCTGGATGAGGCCCTGTTGAGAAGTAAATGCCTCTTAGCCTTCCCTTCTCTGAAGATTCCTTGTCCACCTACACATAGTCAAGCCTGTGGCATCTCTTTCTAGGGTAGATTCTAGAGGCATCCTTGAATACGGACACACAGTGTCTTTGGAACCGTCAGACTGAGATCAAATGTAAGAGTGTTGCTAAACACACAGCAGCCATGATGGCACCTGAGAAGTTTCTTCCTTTCAAGCCTGTAGAACATCAAAGCTCCTGTCAGCCCTAAACAAGGTGTTGCACAGATACTTGTTGCAATGAACGAATGAGTGGATGAACAGATGGATGAATGGGAAGGTGGAAGGAAGAGCAGGTGAATCTCAGCAGCAACATAACCGCATTGTCAGGGACTATGCATGCTGGGCAAGGACTCCCATAGTCAGACCTCAAAGGTCTGCACGCATCCTTAGAACTGTCTGGCCCTGCACAACCCTTTCTTGACAGGTTTTAGGGAACATTTTTTTTAGAGTGTGAAACAATTTTCTTTCTGTCTCTGTTGCCCTGCTGTGGTAGTGCAGGCATCCCCCCTTAACCTTCATTGGCTAGTGTCCTTAGCAGTTAAAGTTCAGAGAAAAAAACATGGTGGAAGAGGTTGGGCCATTACTTGTAATAAAAGGTAATTTACAAATACCACAGTTAGTTCACTTAAAGAGGGCTCCACTAGGGGACCTTGAATGGGATACATTTTAACATCCCAATTAAAATTTTTCTTATTAAATAGTATAAACTCATAATCAACTTGTGCAGACAAGCAGAACTGAAGTCTTATATCTTATTTGGCCCCTGCTCAAAATTAGAATGGGTACTCCTGGCATACCATCTAACCCTTTCTTTCCTTCCTCTCCTCTCTAATCCTCAGTGGAAAGCAAGGACAAGAGTTGGCCAGGGCAAGGGAGAAGTGGGAGAAGGGCTGTCCCCACAAGCCCTTTTCCTCATGCTAAAGTTTCAGTGTTTTGTAGGTGCCCAATGGCAGTGGGTTTTCACCTTTGCTGGGCTGCTCCCTGCCTTAAGCTTTGTACACTGGACTATGGATGTCCCATACAAAAGCCCAGAGATGCAAATAAATTCCTGACAGCGCCCATCCTCCCCTGCCAGCTGGCGTGGAGATTCAGATGCTGACCTGGCTGAAAGAGAATACTGTGTTGGCGTCTCCTGATGCAGAGTTAAATGCTTGTTAAAGAAAAAAGAGTCTTGACCGTTCCTTTTCTTCCTAATGTCTTCCATGCCCCCATCGGCTGCCATCCCTCCAGGTTCCAGCCCGTCAGGGCCTGGGGTTTGGGCAGCGAGGCTGAGAGGGCAGCGGGGTGCTACGCTCTCCAGAGTTGACACCCAGGCAGCCCCAATGTTGCTCAGTGACAGCAGATTGGTTAGGCAAGTCCTGAACAGGGGGGAGGGACCTGATGCCCTGTGGCTCGGGCTTCTGTGCCTGAGGAGGAAAGGAATATGGAACTTGAGCTGACAGGACAGCAGGGAACGAAATACAGATCAACACATTCCTTCCACGTGTCAGGGATTTACACTTCTGTAACACAGGAGAGCAGAGAGCTGTGAGAGGGCTGGCTGCCATTTTGGGGAACCAATGTAGAAGCCTAAATCACCAAAGAACCAAGAACAAGATCACCCCTGTACAGCCCCTTTTGAGGTTTTGAATGGCTATCAGAAGTCAAAGGTGTCCTGTAGACACACTGGGCAGTTCTCATGTGGGAAGGAATGATAAGTTTCTCTTGTGGCCCTGTCTTAGTTTATATGAGGTGTCAACATTCCTCCTAGGGCCCCCGTGAGTGTTCAGTACAAACAATGGGGCTCATGTCTACATGTACAAAGGGGCTGAGGTGAAAGAGCTGCCTGGGGAGGGGAGCAAGCTTGTGGTTTCTGTTCCCTGTTTCTCAGGATGTCCTGTGGCCTTTCCTTGACCTCACTGGGCTGGTTGAGGGTCTCAGCTGTTACTGGGATCCAGGCTGACATGACTGATGCTTTTATTGCATTATAGCATGAAAGCTCCCTTTGGAGGAGGATGTGGGGTAGATATACCCGGAGTTGGCCAAATAGTCAAAATGTAGTTTCTTAAGTGTCATGACTGAGTGGGCCTGGGCCTGTTATTGCTTCTGGAGAGCATTCTAGGTTTCCCCCATTCTGTAGATCCTCTATTAAAATGTAAATATATTAGGAAATGTTGGAGAATAAACAATGGAACATATGTTGGAGTTTAGGGGAGAGAGAAGAGAGCAGTGAGGAGAGGGCCCTAGGGAGATGGAAAGGGCCAAAGACAAACTTAACTGACTTCACAGCATTGCTTGGGACCTGCCCTGTTGGCAACTGTACATATTTTTTTAAATAAGAACAGCAACCAGCTAGAAATTGTTCTGTAACCATTATGAAATCTTCAGTCTTGTTCCTGGGCCATTGTATTACAAACAGAAGCACATTCTTAATATCGTTAGATGATCTAGGTAGTAAAAATGTCCTATGATGCTATTAAATAAACAAGATCTTACCCAATATCCTTTTCATTTGGCCTAGAAGGTTATCAACACAACAATGATCTTCCAAAGAGACAAAGCAAACAGCATATTATAGGTGTTTCTAAAAACCCTTAGGCAAGCCATTAATTAGAGCTGACACTTCAGAATCAATCTTGAATCCTGACTTCAGGCTCTTTTTGGTCTATGGCAAGCCAACTGCTGATGCTTGTATAGAAGGTTAAGGTCCAGACTAGAGTGGGGCAGTTCTCATCTTATATTGCACAGAAACTGCTCACTTACTTCCACATCTGTGAATTCAAGTGTTTTTCTACCATGGAGTTTAGTGCGAACCGAAAACGATCCCATCTTCTATCAAACACATAGTACCCTCGTCCCATGAGGCGACTCCCGAAAGAACAAAACTGTGAGGGAAAAAAACATTTTAATTTTGATTACAGGTTAATAAGCTAATATAAACCATACAGAGAAAAATAACATTTGCATAAAAACACACAGGGGTATCATTTTACCCAAAATAAAGAAGCAACTGGTACTGAAGCTAGAAATATTTCTGCAATGCTATAGTTTGAGCTTTGGATTCTCTGCAGACCCTCACATTTTAACCCAGTGATTGTGCCATTCAATTTTCTGTGGCACAGAAGGCCACACACACTCTAGTCCTGGAATGGAGCCAGTATTTTAGGGTAAAAAACAAGCAAAGCAGCCACCATCCAGGGTGACTTTGCAGCTTTACCTGTGACACCACCCATTCTCTCTAGGAGCTCTGGCTTCCCTGACTCCATTCCAGGAATGGGAACTGCTGGTTCTGGATCAGAGCTTCCTGTCTGATGTCACAGAGCCACTTCCTTTCATCAAAGGATGGCCTTCCCATCCCAGTCCTGATGGCTTCTCTACTTCCCATCTGCTCTTGATTTTTGTTTGTTTTTAAATATAAAGTTTTTTTTTTTACTTATTTGATTTTAGGTATGTTTTGCTTGTATGTATGTAAGTACATCATATGTGTGCAATGCCCATGGATGCCAGAAAAGGTTGTTGGAGCCCCTGGAACTGGAGTTACAGAAGGTTGTTAGCTGCCATGTGGGTGCTGAGAACTGAACCTGGGTCTTCTGTAAGAGCAGCCAGTGCTCTTAACCACGGTGCCACCTCTCCAACCCACCATCAATCTAGTAAGCTGCCCCAGGACACATCACACCTCTGGGCTCTTGCTTACACTGTTCTCTCTACCTGCTGCTTTCCTCTTTGGCAATCATGACCCCACCCTTGGATGCCCTGTTTTTGACTCTCATTGCCAAATGCCTCATCTGACTGATCCTCCCACTGTGGACACTGATGGGAAATCTCCTGTACATTATTACATTTCACCTTAGGATCATTACATATATAATTACATATGCAATATATTTGATGACTATCAGTGTATCAAATGTGAGAAACCCATTCTTTTCCTCCCCAGTATGAGGAACATATAGATTTGAAATTTTTTAAAAAGGATTAAGATGTATAGAGCTGAGGCTGGAGAGATGGAGAGTGCAAAGTCAGCCTGGGCTAAATAGTGAGCTCTTGTCTCAAAAAAAAGTGGATTAAGGAGACAAAGGTCCCTCCAAATTAAAAACAAACAAACAAACAAAAAAAACCACTGTATTTAAAACTATGGTCAAAATATGGACATTCAGATGGTTAAGAAACACTGATTATGATGTAGGACAACTGGAGGCTACACAACAGAATGCAAGAAGTAGCCTCAGAGAAGGTGACATTTGGTGGGTCTAGGGCTCAGGCAAGTCTGCAAATGACTCTATAATTCAAATGCTGCTTCTCCCCATCCCAGGGCCTCCAGCAGCTCCCTGGCTACAAGCCCAGATTCAGTGCAGGATTGGCACCCATCCCACAAGCGCATCTTGGACCCAGGCTTTGGAACGGTTCTCAGAAGGAATTGCAAGGCCTTCCCTTTGTTCTGTTTCTGCTCCAGTTGGGAGACAGGGGATTGTATTAAGACCTTGCTACCCACCAAATCTGGTAGTGCAGATCACTTACTACAGTAAGTTCAGGGAGGAAAGCACACATGGTAACTCTCCAACACAGAAGCTGGTCCCCACCTTTCTGTGGGAACTGTTTCTGGTGAAGGCACCATTTCTTCATTGATCCCAACTGCTAAGGATACACTGAGTCTTACTCATGACAAAATGTCATTTAACATATCAATTGTCCATGAGAAAAAAGACAAAGCAAAGCAACAAACTCATGGTTTTTTTCCTTTTTAATCAGCACAACATTAAGGGCCTACAAATGCCCCAAATCCAGAATGCTGCCAATCCTCCACAGCAGTTTGCCCTGTGGACAGATGTCTTGAAGCTGTCCAGGGGTACAGCCTTTTGGTACAGCCTTGTATCTCTTTCAGACTTGGGAGCTGCAGGCCCCTTTGGTTTTGGCCACCAGTGTATCTAATCCCACTTCGACGCAAGGCTAGATGGCTAGGGAAGCTAGCACTGCACATCCTTGGCAGAGCTGTAGCTCTTCGCTGTGGCAGGTGCTGCTGCCACCATCCTCTTCCACTGACTCTCCCTCGCCTGGCCCTGTCTTCTCCTTGTCAGCATAACCACATTTTTGTCCTGATAGCTTTAAAAATATTTTCTAAAAAATTATTTTATTTTATGTGTATGAGTGTTTTGCCTGCATGTTTGTAAGTGTGCCTGTGTTGTGTGATGGCCATGGAGGCCAGAAGAGGGTGTCCAATCCCCTGGAACTGGAGTTACAGTAGGTTGTTAGCCATCATGTGGGTGCTAGAAACTGAACCTAGGTCCTCTGCAAGAGCAGTCAGTGCTCTTAACTGCTAAGCCATCTCTCCTGCCCCTGGTTCCAATATCTTACGTACAGCAATAACAGAGAAGGTGTGTTTCTTCCCAGATCTTGGAATGAGTCACAGCTGGTTTCATCCTGAGTTACTACAATCCTTCCTTTTCTGCCACCTGCCAGTGCAGGGGTGGGCATGTGGCCCAGTTTCACTACATATATGGGGAAGTCTGGTAGAGTTTCATAGGAAGCTATTGTTTTGCAAATGATGAAAACAGCATTGTGGAGGTTCCTTTCTTTCCTATTTGAGAATACCAGTGGATGCAAATGTGACACTGGAGCTATGGTGGATTTTTTTTTTTTTTTTTTAAACCATCCATGAAGGGCAAAGATGGCTACAGACCTGGCAGAGAAGCTGAACCAAGTTTGGAAGCACACCTACCTCTAGACTGCTTACCATGTAATAAAACGTTCCTTATGTGGATGTGGAGGCATCAGCTTTTCTACAGCTGGCTGGCAAAAGTGTTCTAAATGGTCCCTGACTATTTTTTTACTGGCCAAGAGGCAAAGTCTCAGGTAACAGGTGAACCACAAGTAACCATCATGACCAGAAAGAGCAACTGGCTATGTCCTTTGCTCATCTGCATGCAGATGGAGGAGAGGGGACTTATTCTGTCTTCCTGCAGGACTGATTTCACTTACAGAGTTCCTGAGATCTAGTTAGTCAGAGCTAATCCTGTAGCCTCAGGCTGAATCAGAATAAACTATCATGGAGACCATATTCCCAGGGCCCCTGCCTTGGGCTGTCATAGTCACAATAGGCAAGTCCCTTCTCAGAGGCTGATACCTTGATTTCTCACTCTGGTATCAGCAATCATTTGAACTGTGAAAATGGACTCATTCAAACAGTTGGAAAGAAGGTGTCCTTTTTGTTAATAAGCATTGACACTGATGGGAAACAATGTCCTCCCCTTCATCAGCTCTGGTGCCATGTGGTCATGTACCAGAACCACCAGAGGAGACCACCAATGAAGACTGGTACCTGAGTTGCTGCTAAAACAGTTTCTAGAGTAGGTGCATCTGGGTAACTCTGAAGCAGAAGCTCCATTTTTTAGATGGGCAAGGCCAGAAGGTCAGCTCCCAGGGGCACTTATATAAATAGCATTTCTCAAGTACTCTCACTTCATAGTGGATCACAAATGCTCAGAGGTTTAAAGGAGCACAGGCAGTGGCAGCCCTTCCCTTTCCTTCTGTGATGATGGTTAAGGGCATCGCTTACACCACCATTCAATCTGAGGGAAAGCCTTCTGGTGAAGCTCTACTCTAGAGCCCTCCTTTCCTTAGGAATGCAGGCCTCTGCTATCATCACCAAGGTGTCTTCAAAGCACAGGGGCACCTCATGGAAGGGATGTGGATGCCTACCGCAAGAGGTCTGGGGTGGTGCGTGGAGAACTGACAGTCTAACTTCTCAGATTCGTCGGCTCCGTCCATCTCCCCTTCATCACTGGACAGTCGGCTGGCCAAGTCAACACCAGCTGGGGGCAGAGGGGGCTCTGGAGTGTAGCCGCTGTGATTTGAAGATGTACTGCTGCTTATGCTATTTGCAGATGATGGTCTAAGGGTGAGAGAGAGAACATACAGAATAAGCTTTCTTGAGGTAAGCAGAGCCACCTATTCCATGGCACTTGAAAGCAGCTCTGCCAGGATGGTGGGAAGAGTAGGCAGATGGTGATTTTTCAAAAAGGGAAAAATTAAAGCTGAAAGGTTAAATGACAACTCTTTATAGTGATCCGGTAGAGTTAGGTCATCTCTGGCTTTCTGCCTCTGGGATACGATACCAGTCTGAGGGAAAAAAACCAAGTATGAGCAGAGGGACTGTGACATGTTAACTCAGCCAGAGCTTGTCTTCCATGAGCTCAGCTGCAACCATCCACTCATTTGCATGTAAATAATTTGTACTTACCTCATGCTTGCTTCCTTCTGAAAGCGCAACCTGACCAGCTGATCTTGCAACCTGATCTTGCAACCAGTTGTATAAGATCAGACTAACCAACACATCTCATTTACGGAGGTACTGCCTTATGAATACTTCCTTTGCTTTTAATACTGTCACAATATGAAATTGCTGCATATGGCTGGGAATAAGGTTTTGTTCCAATTGACATGGCGCTGGTCCCTTCCCTCAGCTAGCCCTCTTCTTAATACAGAGCTATGTGTAGTTGGACGGTATCTCTGAAGGATAAGTGTTTCAATTTAATTTCTCTCTTTCTCCCCTTCCCAGCCCCCCCCCCAACCCCTGAGGCAGGGTCTCCCTATAGCCCCAACTGGCCTGGAACTCACTAGGTAGGCCAAGCTGGCCTTCATCTTACAGAGATCCGCCTGCCTCTGCCTCTTGAGTGCTGGAATTAACGCACCTGTGTCAGTTTCATTTCTTAACAATCCCCCTACCCACAGCTTGAAATGGTTGGCTCATCATAGGTGTTGAGGAGAGAGTTTTTTTTTCAGTGAAGGAATGAATTAATTCTCTGAGACAATCTAACAGAGTCATCTCAATTATGACTAAGCTCATAAAAAAAGCTATGTCACAATAAGCATTGTATACTTCCTAAGCTATAAAAACCACAGCAAATCCAGAAGCAAACCTACCCATATTAGCAGGTTCATGATTAGAAGTGATAGAGCAGGGAGAGGAGGCAAAAACATGGGAAAACAATTCTGGGGGTAAAAAGAATCAAGATGCTTTTTCAGGAGATTGCCTCTCCTGTTTTCGGCTTTCAAAGTTTCCTGTACCAGGTCACATGAAGCAGCACACTTGCTTTGTCATTCTTTTCTCTCATTTCTACTGAGGTTCTTTGTAGCTCTGAGATCTTCTCAGGTCTCCAACCCGATTCTAAAAGCACAGTCACTTAAGAACAAAGCCACAAAGGTGGAAACAATGCACGTCCACCAATAGATAAGCGGTATAGCAGTAGATATTATTCAAGCTTGAAAAGGGAATGAAATTCTGATGCCTATTACAATATGTAGAGTGGTTATTGGGAGTTGGGTGGAGGGAGGAATGAGGAGTTAAGTGTTTAATGAGTATAATAAACTGGAATGATGGAGTAGTTCTGAAGATGGGTGGTGGTATGGCTGTGCTGTACTACAGTGACTGGTTAATGACATCCAAATGTACAATTAAATGGAAAAAAATGGCTGGGCACAGTGGCATACACCTTTAATCCCAGCACTTTGGAGACAGGGGCAGGTGGACCTCTATGAGTCCCAGGCCAGCCTGCTGGGTCTATATAGTGAGTTCCATCCAGGGCTACATACTGAGACCTTGTCTCAAAAAAAAAAAAAAAAAAAGGAAAAAATAAGGAAGCGAGGTATGCTGTACTATATACCGAACTATTTCAAAATGAAAAATCAAGGGGGTGGGGAGGTGGGTCTAAAGTGCTTTCTGTACAAGCATGAGGACCTGAGTTCTGATACCTAGCACCTACATAAAAGTCAGGCATGGTAATGCATGTCTGTAATCCCAGCCCTGGGGGTAAAAAAAGGCAGATCCTAGGGGGCTCACTGACCAGCTAGCCTGGTTAAAATGGTAAGCTCCAGGTTCAGTGAGATAAGGTGGAGAGTGATAGAGAAGACACCCAATACCAACCTTTAGCCTTCATATGCACATACACACAGGTAAGTGCACCTGCGCACAGAGGTATATACATAAACACTCCCCTCATATATACAGAGAAAGGTAAAATGGCCAATTTTATGTTATGCACATTGTGCCACAAGAACAAAACTAAAGAAAGCAAGACCACAGATAGGGGAGTTTGTTTTGGGTTTTTTTTTTTTTTTTTTTTTTTTTTTTTGGTTTTTCCCTTTTTTCTTTTTTTTTTTTTTTTTTTTTTTCCTGTAATTCCAGGTCACAGTCCATCATTGAAGGAAGTCTAGGCAGGTACTCAAGAAGGGACTTCATTGAAGGCATATTGGTTTGCTATTCTATATAGCATTACCTCTGACCAGGGAACTCACTTCATGACCAAAGAAGTACAGCAGGAACCACAGAGTTTTTTGCTTGCTGGCTGGAAGGCAAGTTTATGC